GAACACTGCAGACCTAGTAAATCAGAATTCCTAGCAACAGAGTCTTAGAATCCATATTTAGGGAATTTGTCAGTGGTTCTGATAATACAGTTACCTTGGGAAAAAACAGAGTACAAGTATACTCCCAAAGAGACTCCGTGGATATATTTTCTAATTACAAATTTTATTTTTATTTTATGTGTATGACTGTTTTGTCTGCATATATGTAAGTGCACCATATACATGCAATGGCCAAAGAGGCTGGAAGAGGGTGTTGGATTACCTGGAACTGGTGTTATGGATGATTGTTAGCTGCCATGTGGACGCTGGGAACCAAACCGGGATCCTCTGGAAAAACAGCCAGTGCTCTTAACTACTCAGCCATCTATTAGGCCTCATATTTTTTAATTAAAAAATATCAGGCTGGAGAGATGGATCAGTATTTAAGAGCACTGGCTATTCTTGGAGAAGACCGGGGTTTGAATCCCAGCACCCACATGGCAGCTAACAACTGTAACTCCAGTTCCAGGGGATCCAACACCCTCTTCTGTCCTCCTTGGGCATCGCACGACACAGGTGTGCTTACACACATGCAGGCATAACACTCATACACATAAAATGAAAATAAATAAAAATTATTGACATGTGTGTGTATGTCACATGGGTCTGCATGCCCTTGGAGGCCAAAAGAGGGCGTCAGATCCCCTGAAGCTGGAGTTATAGGCAGTTGTGAGCTGTCTGATGTGGGTCCTGGGAAGTAAAACTTGGGTCCTCTGGAAGAGCAGTAAGTACTCAACAGCGATCTATCTCTCCAGCCTCGAATGTGTGTATTTTTAAATATCCAAACATATATACATAACCAGAGACACTGATATAGGAATTGCTGACCGCTCACTGAAGATCATGTTAAGAATCTGCCCTCCGAATCTTAGCAGTAAGGCTTTGGGCTTAGTACTTTCTGAAAGCTTTGTTGGTTTGTTCTATTTTGGGTTTTTTTGTTTGTTTGTTTGAGACTATGTATCTCTTGGCTGGCCTCAAAGTCTCTATGTAGACTAAGCTAGCTCTGAATTCACAGAGATTCACCTGCCTCTGCCTCCTGCATGCTGGGATTGAAGGTGTGCACCAACACATTGGGCCTGTTTGATTTAAGGACAGAAACCTTTGTTATAATTATGTTCCTCCAATACAGAAAAGTGACTTATTTTTTCACTTTAAAGAATAGCATTATTAGCTGGGTGTCGTGCCGCACGCACACCTTTGATCCCAGCACTTGGGAGGCAGAGGCAGGCAGATCTCTGAGAGTTCAAAGCCAGCCTGGTCTACATAGTGAGTTCCAGGTCTGCTGAGACTATAGGGAGACTCTGTCTCAAAAAAAAAAAAATTTTTTTTTTAGGTTTATGATAAAATTGGGAAGACTAGTACAGAGAAAGTTATAAAAATACAAAAACATGTCACGGGCTGAAGAGATGGCTCAGCGGTTAAGAACACTGACTGTTCTTGCAGAAGACCCGGATTTGAATTCCAGCACCCACATGGCAGCTAACAACTGTCCGTAACTCCAGTTCCAGGGGATCCGACAGCCTCCAAGGGCCTTGCATGACACAGGTGCACTTACCTACATGCAGGCAACACACACATACACCTAAAATAATAAATAAAATATTTTTTAAAAAACATGTTGCCAGGCATGGTGGAGCACATCTTTAATCTCAGCACTCGAGAGGCAGAGGCAGGTGGAGCTCTGTTGAGTTCAAGGCCAGCCTGGTCTACATAGTGAGTTCCAGGACAGCTGGGGCTACAGGGAGACTCTGTCTGAAAAAGACCAAAAAAAAAAAAGTCACAGGGTTGGAGAGATGGCTCAGTGGTTAAGAAAACTTGCTGTTCTTCCAAAGGACCTGGGTTTAATTCCTAGCATTCATATGGTGGCTAATAACCATCAGTAACTCCAGTTCTAACAGATTTGACACCCTTTTCTGCCCTATGTGGGCATTACATGCAGGTGGTGTGCTGACCTATGCAGGCAAAACACTCGTACACATAAAATTAAACAAACAAACATGTTACTTGATTATCGCTAGCAATTACACCTAGAACCAGCAAGGTACTGGGCCATAGTGGCAGGTCTGTATCTTTTATAGTAACCATACACACCGTTTTTGAACAACTTTGGAGTAAGCGCCAGCATTGAGCGTTTTCCTGATGAAGTCACAGATATGAGAGCTCTCTCCTGGGCATCGAGGGAGTCCAAAGACACCTGTGTCGGTACAAGACAAATTCGTATTACTCCAGTAGTCATATACTGAATGCCTACTATGTGCCAGGCACCATGAAAACCAAAAACTGGACAGAGTTAGAACCTAATCTCATTCATTTACTCTTAAAAAAAAAAAAAAAAAAAAAAAAAGCAGGGCTGTGAGATGGCTCAGTGGTGAAGAGCATTGGCTGCTCTTACAGAGGACCCAGGTTGGTTCCCAGCACCCACTTGGCAGCTGTGCTGGATAGCTTTAGTGTCAACTTGACACACCTGGGTTGAAGGAGCCTCAATTGGGGAATTTCCTTTATTGGACTGGCCTGTGGCCATGTCCATGGGCACCTTCTTGATTGTTGAGTGATGTGGGAGGGCCCAGCCCACTGTGGGTGGTGCCATCCCCGAGCAGGTGGTCCTGTGTTGCATAAGAAACAGGCTGAGCAGGGGCCAGGGGAGCAAGCCAGTAAGCAGCATTTCTCCATGGTCTGTGCTCCAGCTCCTGCCTCCAGGTTCCTGCCCTGAGTTCCTACCTTGGGCTCCCTGATGAACTGTGACCTGGGAGATGTAAGCCAAATAAACCTTTTCCTCCCCAAGTTAGTATTGGTCAGAGTATTTTGTCACAGCAATGGAAAAAAAACAAAACAAAACACTAGGACAGCAGCTGACAATTGTCTGTAACTCCAGTATCAGGGGATCTGATGCCCTCCTCTGACCTCCACTGGCATTGCACAACATAGGTGCACTTACATACATGCAGGCAGTACACACACACACACACACACACACATATTACTACTTGTGTTTGTATAATACACACACACACACACACACACACACTGTTTTTGAAATTAAGTCATGCTATAGTTTTACTACTTGTGTTTGTATAATACACACACACACACACACACACACACACACACTGTTTTTGAAATTAAGTCATGCTATAGGCTCTGGCTCACTCGGTACTCAAGATGGTCTTGATGCATAGCAATCCCCCTGCCTCAGACTTCTGAGTGGTAGCATTCCAAGCGAGTTCTTGGATTATTGGGAATCTAAATATGTGCCACCATGCCTGGCTAATGGTTATATTTTTGAAAAGTATTTCCCTACGGAGACATGGTGCACATGCCTGTTACTCTAGCAGTGGGAGATAGAGGCAGGAGGATCAGGATTTCAAAGTCATCCTCAGCTACATAGTGAGGACTAGGCAAGACAGGCAACATGAGACCCTGTCTCAAAAAAGTACACACACACACACACACACACACACCCATACAATTTTTCCCTATCTCTCATTTCATCACTCCATTTCATTCCCTGAAAACTCCCATAAGATGAGCACATTCACATTTTAGTCTTCCCATCTGTGAATGGGATCTACAATACATGACCTACACATCAGTAACAGTTAATTAGGTGAATCTAGGGTTTTTTATTACAGGGGGAATCGTGTTCCTATATAGCAACAGCCAAAAGTAATATTCAGCATGAGAGACCCAAAGTTCTATTCCAAAGAGACAGACTTTCCCCAAATCGGCACGTCTGTCTAAATGCTCTTAAATGGTTAGAACAAAAAAACTTATGCACTACATTTTTCTTAAGCCTAATGTCAACAGCACAATGCCAGTGTCAGAGTGCTATTATATTTTCCTTTTTTTTTTCTTAGTGGTGGTGCTGAGAATGGAGCCCAGGGTCTTGTACATACCGGGCAAACATTTTCACCACTGAACTACAACCCTGGCCTGTCATATTTTCCTAACTCCTCTATCACCACCTGCCACATGGCTGGAACCATCACACCTCCATGAACTAGAGAGAAAGGCAACCACCTAACGATTCACCTGTGCTACACAGTTCTGCAATCTGAGGTACTTCCTGCTTCCCCATTAGTGATGGCTAGTTTGTTATGAACCGTATCATGATGGTTGACTTAAGTATGCAAGTCAGGCTATATAGATTTTATTTTATTATTTTTATTTTATGTGTATGAGTGTATTGTCTGCATGTATGTGAGTGTACCCATGTCGTAGAGGTCAGAAGACGGCTTCGGATTCCTGTGGAACTGGAGTTAAGGACGATTCAAAGCCACCATGTGAGTGCTGGGAATTGAACCCGGGTCCTCTGTAAGGGCAGTCAGTGCTCTTAACCGCTGAGCCATCTCTCCAGCCCCTATTTTATTTATTTTTTATGTGTATGCTTGTATTGCATGCTTGTATGCAGGTGCATCTGTGTTGTGCAATGCCCATGGAGAACAGAAGAGGGCGTGGGAACCCCTGGAAGTGGCATTACAGATGGTTGTTAGCCACCATGTGGGTGCTGGGATTCGAACCTGGGTCTTCTGCAAGAACAGCCAGTGCTCTTAACCACTGAGCCAACTCTCCAGGCCCCTTTTGTTTTTTTAAAAAAGCAAGTAGGCACTGGGTGTGGGCACATGCCTTGAATTCCAGCACTCAGGAGGCTGAGGCAGAAGGATTGCTGCAAGTACAGAACATCAGGTGGGCAAGGGTTAGAAAAGAGAAAGAGAAAGATGGCGTTAAAGAGGCGAAGGTTACCTTGCTGTTGTCCCCCAACTGAGATCAGATTCATCATGGAAGGTAACGGGCATCTCTGAGCCACTGCCCTCCTACAGAAATCACAGGGAGCTATCAGCTCTGACGGTCAGATGGGCATGTACCAACAGTCACTTACTTCACAGATTAAGTTATTGAATACATTGCAGGTCCCCAAAGTTAGAGTTATATGATTTTCCTCTGTTACAGCCAAGCAAATCTTTCATAGAAAATAAAATAAGGGGTGCAGGAGAGAGGGCTCAGTCAGTAAAGTGCTTGCCACGCAAAAGCCTTGGGAAGGCGGAGACAGGAGCTTGCCAAGCAGTCTAGCTGAATCAGTGAGCTCCAGGTTCATCAAGAGACATTTTCTCAAATAAATAATGTATGTTGTTGCAAGCCTGATGATCTGAGTTTGACTCCTGAGACCCAACAGCAGGAGAAGAATGATTCCTGCAAGCGGTCCTCTCCTCTATGTTGGTGTTGCTTTTAATTTCTAGTTATTTATTTATTTTTGGTCTTTTGGAGACAGGGTCTCCTTGCAGCCCCAACTGGCCTGGAATTTACTATGTAGACCAGGCTGGCCTCAAACTCAAAGAGATCCACCTGCCTCTGCTGGGATTAAAGGCGTGCATTACCACACCCAGCCTGCTTTTAATTTTTAGTTTTCATTTTGTATTTTATGTGTATGAGCATTTTGCCTGCATGTATGTGAGTGTACCACATGTGTGCAGTGCCCATAGAGGCCAGAAAAGGACATCAGATCCCCTGCAACTAGAGTTACTATTTTGTTAGTCACCATGTGAGTGGTGCTGGGAATGGAACCTGGGTCCTCTGCAGGAGAAGCCTGTGCTCTTAACCACTAAGCCATCCCTCCAGTCCTGTATATTGTGTTTTGTGTGTTGTTTTTATTTTCCTTTTTTAATTCTTGTCATAAAATAACACATAAGAGCCAGTGAGATGGCTTAAGGGTGTTGGCCACCAAGCCTAATGACCTGAGTTGGATCACTACAACCCACATGATGGAAGAAGAAAACAGAAGGTTGTCCTATGACCTCTATACACTCTGCATCGACATACACACTCTAAACACATGAGATGTGGCCTCCCAACAAGTGAACAGTATGGCATTGTGAGCATATTCCCAGAACCCCACCCCCACCCCCTAATTCACATGGCTGAGCACTATTTCCCAGAATACCTCATCTTCTACTTCTCCCAGGTCCCGGCAAACCACTGTTGTACTTTCTATTATAATGAAATTGGCTCTGCAGATACATCATGTAAGTGGATCATGCAGTGAGTCCTTTGACTGGCTCATTTCACATACACCATCGAGCACACACACATATATACACACCAAATAAATAAGAACTTTTAAGCTGGGTGTGGTGGCACATGCCTTCAATCCCAGCATTCAGGAGGCAGAGGCAGGCAGTTTTCTGTGAGTTCCAGGCCAGCTTGGTCTACATAGCAAGTTCCAGGCTAGCTTGGGATACAGGGAGACCCAGTCTCAAAAAGACCAAAAATAAAAACTTTTTTAAAAAGCAAGGTGATAGCCGGGTGTGGTGGTGCACGCCTCGAGTCCCAGCACTTGGGAGGCAGAAGCAGGCAGATCTCTGTGAGTTCAAGGCCAGCCTGGTCTACATAGTGAGTTCCAGGACAGCTGGGGCTACAGGGAGACCCTGCTTCAAAAAAACAAAAAAAAAAAAAAAAAAAAAAATGGAGGGCCGGGCATGGTGGCACATGCCTTTAATCCCAGCACACTGTGAGTTCAAGGCCAGCCTGGTCTACATAGTGAGTTCCAGGACAAAGGGGGGTTCAGAGGGACTCTGTTTAAAAAAGAAAAAAAAAAAGTAAGGTGAAGAGCCAGGCATGGTGCACACCTTTAATCCTAGGACTCGGGAGGCAGAGGCAGAAGGCCCTGTCTCAAAAAGACAAAACAAAACAAAACAAGTAAGATGGAGAACAAGTGAAGATGACACCCAACATCAACATCAACCTCTGCCCCCCCACATAAGCACACACACACACACACACACCCCTAAACAAAGAAAATGAATTAAGTTCCACAAGGCTTCTTAGATGGGGACATTTTAAAATAACTTCCTTTCTGTGATGGGGAGGATCCCCCCAAAAACCACAAACAATACAAGAATAAAGAAATACCAATTCCACGTTACTATACAACGAAAGGTACTTACAGAAACTGGCCTCCCTGGGAGAATCCTATAGCATTGTAGCCTTGCTGCAGCTTAGGATCCTTAGCAAGAATTTCACACACTATCCTTACTTGGGAATTGACATTTAAGAAGAAGCTGTTCTCCACATCCTACAAGAGGAGCCACAGAGAAGAGAAAGGATTGGGCTGTAGGCACTGGGCACCTTCTCTAAGATGGAACTCATTTCAGTCAACACCCTCACACGGCCATTGAAGTGCAAGTATTAGCTGGCCCAGCTGGAATGATCAAGTTCCAGGCCAGCCTGGGCTACATGGCAAAATACTGCTGTGTCCCAATCAAACCAAACCAAACCAGTGGGGGTATGATTTGCTGCTAAAAATACACAGTGAGGCATTTGAATAGTATAATCTATGAAACCAGGCAGCAAACATTTAAGGGAATAGCTAGCCGTTCGGGGTCTTACCTCCACCATGTTCTTCCCAATCTCTAAAGATAAAACATAAATTCCGGGTAGTTGCTTCTCCACCATCTTCTTAACGGCACCCATGCTCAGGGGATTACAACAACTGTCTCCTAGCAACAAAAATAGTAATTTTCATGAATCAAAATATTACCAAAAAAAAAAAATTGGGGGGACTGGAGAGATGGCTTCAGTGGTTAAGAGCACTGGCTGCTCTTGTAGAGGACCTGAGTGCAGTGTCTAGCACCCACATAGTGGCTAACAAGTATCAATAACTCCAGTTCCAGGGGTGTGGACTTCTGGCCTCCTGTGATGCACTTACACATATGCAGGCACAACACTCATACACATAAAAATACAAATAAAATTAAAAAAAAACTTTTATGACTCAAAGGCTATTATTAAGAGTGTGGAAGGACAGCACACAGAATAAGAAAACCGGTGAGTGGGTGGTCTACGGCAGGGCTTCCGGAGTTGTTTCCACCCTCAACCATTTCCATCTAAGACATTTTTATATTACCTTGGGAATATAAAATAGCTACACAAGTCTGGGTGTGGTAGCAATGCCTTTAATCCCTGCACTCAGGAGGCAGAGGCAGGTAGATTTCTGTGAGTTCCAGGCCAGCTGGGGCTACAGGGAGACCTTGTCTCAAAAAGACCAAAACAAAACAACCAAAAAAAAGTATACATTTACTGACAATAAATCACAAAGAAATTTATTTTATGCATGCAGGTGGTATACCTGCATACGTGTAGGTAAAACACTTATATACATAAAATAAAAATAAAATATTTGGCTCAGCGGTTAAGAACACTGACTGTTCTTACAGAAGACCTGGGTTCGAATCCCAGCAACCACATGGCAGCTAACAACTGTCCATAACTTAACTTCAGTTCCAGGGGATTCTGACAGTTTCTCCGAGGGCACTGCATGACATGGGTGCACTTACTTACATGCAGGCAGTACACGCATACACATAAAATAAAAATAAGAAATAAAATATTTTTAAAAAAATATTCAAAAGATTTTAAAAAGAGCTGGGTGTGGTGGTGCATGCATTTAATCTCAGCACTCGGGAGGCAGAAGCAAGCAGATATCTGTGAGACTGAGGCCAGCCTGTTCTACATAGCAAGTTCCAGGTCAGCTGTGGCTATAGAAACCCTGTCTCAAAAAAAATTTTTTTAAAGAAATTTATTTTAAAATAATTCTTTGGTATACATACAACTTTGATTTTTTTTTTTTTTTTTTTTGGTTTTTGAGACAGGGTCTCCCTGCAACCTCAGCTGACCTGGAACTCACTATGTAGACCAGGTTGGCCTAGAACTCACAGAGATCCACATGCCTCTGCCTCCCAAGTGTTGGGATTAAAGGCGTGCGCCACCAGGCCTGGCTAACTTTACAATGTGTTAAAGATGAAAGCAAATTTTACACACTAAAGAGATAGATGCACTTGTTTACTTTTATATAAAGGATTACATTTTAGCTGGACATGATGGTTCACCCTCTAACCCCAGACTCAGCAGGCAAAGGCAGGCAGATCTCTGTAAATTTGAAGCCAGTCTGGCTCTTTTGGGTCCTGGCTCCAAGATGACCCAAAAAAGAAGAAACAAGCACTAAATGCAAGTTAAAGCAACAAAGTTCGAGGACTGGAGAGATGAGTCAGCAGTTAGGAGCACCAGCTGTTCTTGCAGAAGACCTGGGTTTGGATCCCAGCACCCACATGGCAGCTAACTGTCTGTAACTCCAGTTCCAGGGGATACAACTCCCTCTTCTGACCTCCTCAGGCACTGCATGACACAGGTGCGCTTACATACATGCAGGCATAACACTCATACACGTAAAATAAAGAGACATAAATTTAAGAAAACTAGCAACAACAAAGTGCCAATTTATACCCACTCAGACTGTTTTAAGAATAACTTCTTTAAATTTGGAAAGTCGGTGTTGGCGAGGACATGGAGAACTAGGAACACGTATGCCCTGTTAGTGGAAATATAACAATGTGGAAACGGAAGGCAGTTCCTCAAAAAAATCAAACATGTAATTATCAAATGGCCTAGAAATGCCACTTCTATGTATGCGCACAAGAGCAATGAAAACAAATACCAAATAAAACAGTGCGTAGAGACCTGCTTTGATGCACTCCCTTTCCCACATCTTGCACTGGCCATCTCTGCTCTGTTAGGACTCTTGTGGACCCCCAGATCTGGGAGCTTTCCCAGACCTGCCTCTCTCAACCCTCAGCAGAGAAGCTTCCTTATACAGCAGACAGTGATTAACACAGAGAACCACAACTGGCCAACATGCAAAGAATAAGGGCTGCAGAGAGCTTATCCCTGAATGGGACACCTGTATCAAACTTCTGCCTCTCAAGGCTCAGGGGTCATTGTGGAAGAGGAGGTAGTAAGATTGTAAGAACCAGAGGTGATGGAGGACCACAAAGAAATAGTTTCCCAGACAGCTGGTCAGTTACTCATATGAACTCACAGCAAAGGTGACAGCATGCACAGGTCTCATGTTAAATTCAAGTCAGACAAAATTCTAGCATAGACGTAGGGAAGTGGGTAAGAAACTCCAACTCTACCTGAGGAGCCTTTGGCAAGGGAAGATTCAACCTCCTTTAAGGGTGAGACTCTTAGCAGTCTGACCAGGCTCCAGTGAATGAATTCACACTGCAGGGCAATTGGGGCCACAAATCTGACTCTCTTTATATGTATATATTATTGGAGTACAAGGCTGGGCATGGTGGCACACACCTTTAATCCCAGGCAGAGGCAGGCAGATCTCTGTGAGTTCAAAGCCAGCCTGGTCTATATAGTGAGTGCCAGGCCATCTGGGGCTACAGGGAAACCCTGTCTCAAAAAAAGACTAAATAAAAAAAAAATTAGAGTACAAAAGTACAAAAGTGGGGTACAGATACAGGATGGGATCTAAATATAATAAAAAAAATACTGTATGAAATGCAAAAATTCAAGAAGATTTTAATTAAAAAATTTAAAAACATTGCCTACAAATGTTTATAGTAATAATATTGGTAATAGTCAAAAGGTAAAAATAAGCCAAAAGTTCATTATTGGATAAATAAGCTGTGGTATATTCATACAATGGAGTATTACTCAGCCATGAGTAGGGATGAAGTACTGACACATGCTACAACTTGGATGAACCTCAAAATCTGTTTGGTAAAATAAACCTGAAACTTAAGTCTGGTGGGATAGCTCAGAGGTTAAGAGCACTGGCTGTTCTTGCAGAGGATCTGGGTTCAATTCCCAGTACCCACATGGTGGCTAACAACCATCAGTAACTCTAGTTCCTGGGGATCTGATGCCCTCTTCTGGCCTCTGTGGGCATTGCATGCACAAGTGCACTTACATACATACAGGCATAACACTCATACACATAAAATAAAGTAAGTAAATAATTTTTAAAAGATTTCTAAAAAATAATCCTGACACAAAAGGTCACATATTGCCTGATGTGCTTCACTTGGTGTGTCCAGAACAGTAAATTCCACAGAGTAAGAAGTGGGCTAGAAGTTAATCAGGAGTTGGAGGAAGCAAAAATGAAATGATTACTTAACTCACATGGGTGTTTTTCTGGGATGCTGAAAAGTTTTGAAACTAGAGTAAAGTTGTGGTTGCCTAAACTTGTGAATACACTCAATGCCACTGAAACGTGAAAATGATTTAATTTGATGTTATATGAATTTCACCTTAATGAAAACAGGTAAAAGAACATTTTTTTGCTTAGCCCATCACTAGCAAACTTCTAAACCCCTTAAGAGGCCAGAGAAGTAGCTCAGTTGGTAGAATGCTTGTCTGCCATGTACAAGGCCCTACGTCTGAAGCCCAGGACTGTATAAATAGGCACAGTGGGGCACATCTATAACCCCAACACTTCAAAGGTAGAGAAGGAAGATTAGAAATTCAAGGCTATCCTTGGCTACAAGACAAGTTCGAGGCTAGTCCAAGATACTTGAGACCCTAAAAAAAACCCCAAACCAAATAGAAAAACAGGAGGCCAGATTTGGTGACACACACCTGTAATCTCAGCACATGTGGAAAGCCAAATAAAGCAGGAGATTTTCAGGACCAGGGTGAAGTACTTGACATGCCCAAGGCACAAAGTTTAAGGCGGTGCTCACAGTAATGAGGAAGGGCAGACCCTGAACTTGTACAAACTTGGGAATGAGTGCCTTGCCTCATCCTAGCTCCAGAATTGTTTCTAGAAGTAAGAAAAGGAAACAAACTGACCACTAGTGGAGGAGCGGACTGAGATCGTTTTCCACTCTGCCCATAAATCATACCATTTTCAACTGAACAGGAAGTTTAGAGACGGAAACACTGGCCTAGAGAATCTCTTTTTTTTCCTAACAACATTCACCACATTGACTGTAATGTGTAGAGAAAAAAAGGGGCTTGAGAGGTGCCTCAGTGGGTAAGAGTACTTGCTCTACAAGCATGAGGTCCTAAGTTCAAATCGCCAGTACCCACATAAAAAGCCAGGCTAGCTGTAACCCCAGTGTTGAGAGGAAAAGACAAGCAGCTCCTCAGAGCTGGCCAGCCTAGCAAAACAGTGAGTTCCCAAGATTCCAGTTTGGTGAGAAATCTACCTCAAGCCAAAAAGGTGGAGATCAAGAGGATAAAGGAAGATCCAGGAAGACACCCCATCCTGCCTCCCTGGCTAACCTCTTCCACATGCATGCGCATGGACACATACACCACATACATACAATACACACGTGTATACACACATACAAAGCCTCAAAATAAAAAGCAAAATCCTCCACTCTCCAACAGTCAGACCACTGTAACTGCTTGGAGCCTGGCCCAGTGATTTGTGGTACCTTAGAAATAATTAGAGTCTAAGGTGTCCTATCCAGTGGCCAATCTCAGGAAGGACAGGTGGTGTTATAAAATTTACTGCCAACAAGATAGTGAGCTGCCCACCTCTTTTCTGCTCAAATAAGACTCCACAGAAATGGGCCAAGAAGCAACGTCACAAAACTTCTCTTCTGCTATAAAAGTGCCCTGCTCCATCTGAGGGTGCAATTCTCTTTCTCTTTCCTCTCTCTCTCTCTCTCTCTCTCTCTCTCTCTCTCTCTCTCTCTCTTGATGTGTTCCTGTCTATATTTTCTAGCCCTTACTAAACTTTTATATCAATTCTGGTCTAGTGAACACTTTTATCACCGTACCAAGTGTTCATTGTTCCCAGCACATTACTTTGCTTGGTGGCCTGAGTGCTAGGAGAGGGCAGCATCTAGTTTGCATCCTCTTTGAGACTGGCTGTAGTATCCCTAGCGTCTGGAAGAGCCTTGGAAGAGATGTCCATATTCACTACCTCTAATCCCTCTCTGTGGTTTTCTTTAACCCATTCAAAAAACTCAGCCTCAAACTGCTTGTCAAGAGAACCACCAATCTTCACAGGGCTAAGGCAGTACTGTTCTCTCACTGTGTCTCCCCTTGACTAGTTCCTCCTTACCAACTCCACCTGCAGAAGCTGAGGTGCCTCTAGGCCAGTACTCTTGGCATACTCACTCCCGAGTGATCTTACCCCCATGACACCACTTTAAATGCTAGTCAGAGGCCCAATACTCCCAACTAAAACCTCCAGCAGTGAAAAATGCTTCTATATTACCTCCCATTTATGTAACAAGGATCTCAGATTTACTACGTCCAAAGCTGGGTGTGGTATCACATGCTTGTAATATCAGCACTTAAGAAGCTGGGGCAGGAAGATCCTAAATTCAAGGCCAACCTGGGCTACACACTAAGAATGGTCGTAAAACAAAACACCTCCTCCCATCCCCCAAAATCAAATAAGACAGAGTGCACAACTGTAACACTGGGACTTGAGAGGTAGAAGAACAGGGATTGGGAATTCAAGGCCATCTTTAGGAATCTGGCCTTGTGACATGCAGCCTGTAATCCCAGTACTCAAAAGATGGAGGCAAGAGGATCACTGGGATTTTGAAGCCAGCCTGAACTACATAGTGAGTTCCAGGACAGCCTGCCTGGGCTACAAAGTGAGATCCTCTAAAAAGAAAGAAGGAGAAAGAAAGAAAGAAAGAAAGAAAGAAAGAAAGAAAGGAAGGAAGGAAGGAAGAAAGAAAGAAAGAAAGAAAGAAAGAAAGAAAGAAAGAAAGAAAGAAAGAAAGAAAGAAAGAAAGAAAGAAAGAAAGAAAGAAAGAAAGAAAGAAAGAAAGAAAGAAAGAAAGAAAGAAAGAAAGAAAGAAAGAAAGAAAGTCATCCTTGGCTACCAAGATCAAAGACAACTTGGGTTACATGATACACTGTCTCAAAAATAAATAAATAGTAGCCAGGCATGGTGGTAGACACCTTTAATCCCAGCACTCAGGAGGCAAAGGCAGGCAGACTGCTGGAGTTCTAGGCCAGCCTGGTCTACATAGTGAGTTCCAGGCCAGCTGGAGCTACAGGGAGACCCTGACTCAAAAAAGCCAATAAATGGGGGCTGGAGAAATGGCTCAGCAGTTGAGAACACTGGTTGTTCTTGCAGAAGATCCGGATTCGAATCCCAGCACCCACATGGCAGCTAACAACTGTCCATAACTCCAGTCCTAGGGGATCCAACAGCCTCTTCTGACCTCCGAGGGCATTGCACGACACAGGTGCACTTACCTACATGCAGGCAATACATGATACACATAGAATAAAAATAATAAATAAAATTTAAAAAAAAGACCAATAAACAAATAAATATATCATCTAGGCATGGTAGCATACATTTGTAATCCTAGCACTTGGGAGGAGAGGCAAGAGGATCAAGAGTTCAAGGTCATCTTTAGCTACACAGCAAATTTGAGGTTAGCTTGGGCTACATGAGACCCTGTCTTAGAAAGAAAAATAGCTGGGTGTGGTGGTGCACGCACTCAGGAGGCAGACACAGGTGGATCTCTGTGAGTTCAAGGCCAGCCTGGTCTACAT